GGTTGGCACTGGGACATCTACAGCAGAGCGTCCCACCCCTCACCCCGTCAGGTCCTCAGAATTTGGCGGGTCTTCTGAGGAACCTGGATGTCCATTCCACTTGATGTAAACCTGGGGTCCCCTTGTCTGTGTGACAAGTTACACCTCAGCCATTGTATCCAGAGGTGAGCTGTCGCTGCAGGTTGGAATTGCTAGAGGATTCCATGGTGAAGGTAAAGCTTTGCAAACCTATCCCTGCTCCTTAAAGTGCCTGTGTGACGCGATACCCTTTAAAAGTCCCTTACCCTACTTTGCTTTTCCGGCACAGAGAGCCAGAAAAGTCCAAATGAGAAGTCTTTCTAACAGAGCCGTCCACACTGTTCTCGGGTGGCCCAGTCAGCGTGTCAGACACACTACCCAGCACCGAGTTCACTGATGATTATTAAAAGCTGCATTCCTAGGGAAGGATCTACCCGGCCACCACAAGCTTATTCATTATTTATAAATAATTAAAGGGCATGGTTCGGATGAATGCAAGCGTCTGGGAAAGTCGTTATTTGTGTATGGATTGACTCGAGCATTTGTCATTTCTCTGGTGACTTAACATCTCTCTGTGCCTTGGGACCTCACCTAATGTTAACCAGAGTAGATGCTTAAACTCTTTTATTTAGTTTAATTGTTGGCCTCATTCTACTTGTTCAGATTATTTGGAACCATTTAAAATTAGCCCTCACTTCTCCTTAATATATTAAAATAGGAAAGGAGGGAAATTTCTTTTTAGAACCTATTGCATTCTAAGGATGAATGCAAATTATCCTCCTATGATTCTTAATGACCCACTATTAACATAGTAGGAAACCCAGTGCATGAATGCAATACCTCTTTTCACATCATTACGCCTAATGGAACTGTTACCAGGATAATAGCTTGACCTTTAGCTATGGATTCAGAAAGCAAAAATACATTCTGCTTACTCCATACCTCTGTTCACACAACATATTGACTATTTTCACATCAATGCCGTGGTGAGCTCTTGGCCTTGTTCTAGGGCCTCATCTGTGATTGTAATGGAGGAAATAAAATTTCATCTTCAGTAGATAAATGCTAGTTAAAAGTCTCTTTTTAAGTTTGGATGTAATCCATGAACCAAATGTCAATAACGTACCCAGTAGAAATGTTTATTTGTGTAGGTATTTTTCAAAAAGCCCAGGGCTGTGCCTTCAAAGGTCTCAGTCACAGACCCAGGAGACAATTTTCCTGGCTGCCTTCTGTTGAAACCAGAGATGGTTTAACTGAAAGGAGAAAAAATAAACAGAAACAGTTGCCTTTTGAGCGAGTGACAGAACACTTGAGCTCAAGGTTAGATTGACAAAGTCTGACCTTCAGGCCCTCCCAGAGCGGGAGGAAACCTTCCAAAGCCCCCTCAGCTCTCCTAAGCTTCGCTGTGGGCACATGGGAGCCGTTTTGAGGTGGGCACAGCCCAAATGTACTTCATTTTGGAACAGCTACTTTCTAATGTGAGATCATTTAGACACACGCATTTCACAACCTTAAGAAAAGAGAGGTTGCTATGGGAATTAATTGTGTAAATACCATTGCAAGTGGAAAGATGTTTACCTGCAAAGACAGTAGCTGGAGTCATTTTTGTAGTACACACTTTCATATAATTGAAAAGGGTTCTAAATGCACATTTTTTTATTTATTAAAACAGAATGTCAAGGCTTTTTGACAATTCTCCAATTAGTCAGTGTTATTGTGGGCATTTGAACGTAATAAAATGTATTCTGTTTGAATATACTGCATTAATCAAGCCTTCCTACTAATTCATGTGGGCCGTTCTCCCCTAATGGTCTTCATCTGTGAGCTCCTGCATTTGCTTCCATTAGAAACAAAACTGGAGAATATGATTAGTCATCACTTATTGCTTGAGCTTCTAGTCATACAAGGCAGTGTGCTACGGAGGGAGATAAGGAAATGATGTCGTTTGTAACCCGGTGTGGGAGATCTGAAAGTGCACCTCTCCCTCCCCAGGGCGCTGTGTCTGTCAGGTGGAGCCCGCGTGCTCTCCTGTGGGGCAGTCTGCATCGTGATCATGTTCCTTAGCTCTGCATCTAAGCACGACTTCTCCACTCTACTGAGGTGGGCGTCAGGGAGCCTTTCCGCTGAGCCTCCTACCTCCCATTCCCAGGACGCGCCGTCATCCTGGATAGCTCCGCTGACCTCGCAGAGATCCGTCTCCCCTGGCCACGTGGTGCTGCGCCTCATCTGGGTGCTTCTGACGTCCTCCGTGTTTCCACCCACACCGCTGGACGCACCTTAGCCTTCTGCCGCACAGCCACTCCGCTGTTGCCGTGGGAATGTTCTGGACGGTTCCTGTCCCTTCCCTGACCCCTTCTTGCCAACCCATTGATACCTTGGTTTCCTGATCTCTGTGTGTATCCCCAAGACTAGGAGCCTTTTTCTGGTCTCCTTTCTGATTGAGGGGAAGCGTGGTGGAGGGTGGAAAGGTGAGGCATTCATTCCAGGAGACCTCTTCCCCCATGTGTAGCTGCTTCACGTCCCTGCTCCTCTGCAGACCCGGTCCTGCAGAATCCCAGCCCGCGCCAGCCCTCCCATCCCGTGGCCTAGATCGGAGCACCAAGGTCCGGAGGGAGACCGCACCTGTCTGTGCAGGCTGCTGCTGCACACCTGCCCGCTCACCTTGCTGCTCGTCCTAGCCTGCTGATCCTCATCCTCCTCAGGACAATCCCGAAAGTTCCCGTCTGTGCCTCTCCGTGGCGCCTCCCCTTTGAGTTCGCTGAGCCTCGAGAGCCACTTCTGGGCTGACCCTGGCTGCAGCAGAGGGCGTTTCCCTCCTGTCAGGGCAGCTCCTCCATTTCTGGCCTGGATTCCCGCACCGTGGCTCTGTGGCCGCAGCTCTGTCGAGGTGGTTCCTTGACCCGTCCCCTCCTTTAGCTCGTGTCCTGTATCCTCCGTCACATTGGCCGCTCTGCCGCGCAAACCATGCGCAAGCCTTGCACGCCTCACCCTCTGCTGCAGGCAGGCGTTTGGAGCTCTTCTGTGGCTGCTCTTTCTAGTCCCCAGTCTTCAGGGAGCACTTGCCGCACCTCCCTGCCTGCCCCGCCCTGCGCTTAGAGCTGCTGGTCCCTCTTTGAAAAGCCTGGGGATTTAGCTCAGCGGCATAGCACCTGCCTGGCAAGCGCAAGATCGTGAGTTCGAGTCCCTCTACCGGAAAACAAAACAAACAACAACAAAAAAAAGTAAAAGCCTCTTGTGGCACTTCGTAAGACCACTCCTGGCTTTCTTGACGCCGACCTCTTTCACAGCCTCCTCTGCCTGCATCTCCTGTTAAGCACTGTGTTCTTAGTGGCTCTGTGCTTGGCCCAGTGCTCGTCTCGCTTAGTGTGTTTCTCTGATTAATGGGTTTGCACTTGCTGTTGGAACTGCCACAGACGTAGTCAGTTCAC